TTGCGTTTTCCACTACTCCTAAGAGGCGATCTGCAGTGGTCCTGGCTGGGCCTCCTTCTCCCTCTGGTCGCCCAAACACTGCTGTGACGTGGTAAAAAGCAGTCTTCAACCTGACCCCCTCTCCCTCCCCTTGGGGGGCAGGTCCCCCCTTCGGCTGCTGTTCTGTCCCCTCCAAAGGGCCAGTCGCCCCACCCTCCACTTGCTCCTCAAGGGTAGTCACCCCATCCTCCCTTCTTTCGCCCCCTTCTCTAGCCTCACTTCAGGGGTCCCCTCTGCCACCATCCCCTTTGCCCTCTTCAGGGCTGGCCCCTCCTCCCTCTCCCTTACTCTTCTATTTTTCTTTACCACAGCCTCCATCTCCTTGTTGGTCCTTTTCTTCAACGGATCAACTGGGGGCGGTCGTGGCTCAAACTCACCCAAGTCCTTCTCCCCCAACGATTTGGGGCATGGTCGGATCCTCTCCCTCGCGATCGGCTTCGGGGGACGGTCTACCTACGCCTCTTTTTATTTGTTAGCCTTGGTAAAACTCGCCCTAACCTCCGCCTCTTACGCCCTCCTCCTCGCCTCCAATTTTACCGGCACAAAATCCCCACTGATTGGCTGAGGGCCCAGCCCTGCGGCAAACAAAACAAAGGGCTGAACGAGGTCGTCCCACTTGGCGCCCTCCTTCTCTCTCCATGCCTTTACCTTTTTCACCCTCTCCTCTGCCGCCGCTCCCAACCTTGGCTCCACCGATTTGGTTGGCACTCTACACACGGTGTGCACCCCCACTCCCCCGTTCGCGGACACATAGAACCATCGCGGCCTCCATTCCTTAATTGACGACGGCAATCCCGCCACCAGCCCTTTTCCTGCTGCCGCTTGTAAAGTGAACCAAGTCTCTTGCTGGCCCGAAGCCTTGTAGCATGCAAAAAACTCGTCCACCGTCATTCCGGCCCCCTCGTTTGCCTTCGGCCACGCACTTGCACAAGCCAGTAAGATCTTCCACGCATTGGGCATCAGTTGGCCCGGCGCCACCTCCAGCCGATCCAACACATCCACCACTATCCTTGGGAGAGGCAGCCTCAAACCCCCCCTTTAACGCCTCCTCATACAGGGCAAACTCCTCCGGTCGAGCATCAGATGCCCTCTCCTTTGATGTCGGCAGCTTTAACTCTATTTCCGAGGGAATCTGATATTTCTCGCGCATCACCTCCAACTCCTCCGCAGTAAAAGTCGACTTGTCGGCCTTCGTGTGCCAGTGATCTAGCTCGACCTGACTGATTGGCTTTGCAGCGGCTATCATCGTGGATGAGCGGGGTCGTCCTACCGGTTCTGTCCTGTATTGCTCCACCAGGCCCACTGCGTTGTCGTCCCCCAAAGCATCTAGTCTCACATTGGGCACTTCCTCCCGAGCCATCCCTCTGGTATGCCTGCGTATAGCTTCAGATGCTGGGGCAAAGTAGTTCACAAAATGTTGCAAAGGTGTATCACTCGAAAGAAAGGAGTTTACACTTAGACTATTTTGGTTGTTTGCAAAGAGATACGTGAAGCGGATAATACCAAAAGCCCAAGGTTTTCCTATATTTCAAGGGTCACAATTAAATTTCGTTAGTTTGAAAATTTTCAAAAATCTGCCAAAACTGTCTTTTCAACATCCTATATTGACCTATCGTTTCATTTCTTACTTAACGCCTAACCTTTCCCATCATGGGATTCTGCCACGTGTACACCCACGATCCACTGCCTCCTTCCCCTACCCTCTCTTTTCCACTTCAAGTCACCACGTGCCCTGCCACTCCTCGAACCCCGCGCACCGCCACTTTCCCCTCCACTCACGGTCGGTCCCTCCACTTGGTCATCCTTCGCGGTCGGCCCTCCTCCTGGCCGGTCCCTCCACTCGGTCACCCTTCACGGTCTGACCTCCTCATGGTCGGTCCCTCCACTCGGACACCCTTCGCGGTCGGCCCTCCTCTTGGTCGGTCCCTCCAGTCGGTCACCCTTCGCAGTCGGCCCTCCTCATGGTCGGTCCCTCCACTTGGTCACCCTTCGTGGTCGACCCTCCTCATGGTTGGCCCCTTCGCCTCGCCGGTCTCTAGCAACCATAATTCTCTTCATTATTCCCTTCGTTGGACTAAAGCTATACTTGGGAATGGGAGACTGCTGACATGGGTAGGCCCATAAAGGCTATAGCCCACTATGAACAACCCATGCCAACCACTTAGGGCCCAATACATAATTCAACGGATGAGGCCCAACATGGCTAGAAGTCAGCATGGCATTAAGAACTAATGACACTCAGACACGTGGCAGGTGAAGGACGAGCCACATAAGCAGACAAAGATCCTGCAAAGTTATTACACTGCACATCAACCATTAATGAAACCCCTTACAGCATTTATTGCGATAAGCCCTCCCCATCGAGATGGAACGGCCTCACCATGAACAAGGCAAGCTAGGGCATAGACTTTCGGCCATGGCGACAGGTCAGAAGGAACAACGAAATAATTACCAGAAGATATAAGCAGACGTCGAAGACAAGAAGAAGGTTAAGCTTTTCTATCTCTAATCCATCTCTACATTCCACCTCTCTTTCTAACTTGCTTGTCGGAGGGTTCGCTGGGGGACTCTCGTTCCCCGTTGAACTCTTGTGCAAGTTCCTCTGTGGGCTTGGACCCTCGGACACTGGTTTGTGAAGTGTGGATCAGTTCAACCCGTTCCACCTGGGACCCGCAGTATCATCAATTATCACACTCAATCAAATTAAGTGTGATAAAAATATCAATCTAATTTTTTTTTATCACACTTCCAATAAAAGTGAGATATTTTTTTTTTCTCAAAGTGTGATCTTTAACTATTTTTGTAGTAGTAAACATTCTAAAAGGATATGAGATTTTTCAAACATTTCAAAAAAAGTATAAAAACTATTTGGCAAGTTTTGGCCAAATGTATGATTTCAAACTGTAATACTCTAACATAACACTCTAATGTAACATTAAAAAAAAATCATAATGTAATACCCAAATGTAACACATAAAAAAACTCATTATTGTACTTTTCCTAAACATAACACTCTAATATAACACTCCAAAAAAACTTCTTAATGTAACACACAAAAAAATTTCTTATTGTAATACACAAAAAAACTCCTCAGTGTATTTTTTTTCAAACGTAACACCCTAATATAATACTCTAAAAAAACTAACACACAAAAAAACTTTTTAGTGTATTTTTTCTAAATGTAACACTCTAATATAATAATCTAAAAAATTCCTTAGTGTAACACTTTAATATAACCGACACAAAAAAAAATTTAGTATAACACTCTAATATAACACACACAAAAAAATTTCTTATGCATTTTTCTTAAATGTAATACTCTAATTAAAAAAAACTCTCTAATGTAACATACAAAAACTTCTCAGTGTAACATTCTAATGTAACATACAAAAAAATTTCTTAATGTACTTTTTTCAAACATAACACTTCAATATAATACTCCAAAAAAATTCCTCAGTGTAACACACACACACACAAAAAAAAAAAATTGTGTAATGTAACACAAAAAAAAAAAAATTCTTATTATACTTTTTCTAAGCGTAACACTCCAATGTAACACTAAAAAAAAAATGTGAGATTCCTCAAACCATTCCAAAAAGAGTATAAATATTCCTTAGTAAGTTTTAGGCAAATGTATAATTTCAAACCGTGAGTGTTATGTTTGAAAAAAGTACATGTGTTACATTAGAATATGTTACGTTGGAATGTTATGTTTGGGATTATACTGATTGAAGTGTTACGTTTAAGAAAAGTACACTAAAGAATTTTTGTTTTTTTTGGTTACATTGGAGCGTTACGTTTGAAAAAAATACACCAAATAGTTTTTTTTGAGTGTTATGTTGTTACATTTGGGAAAAGTACACAAAAGAATTTTTTAATGTGTTACTTTGAAGTGCTACATTCTTGAAGTGTTACATTAGAGTGTTTAGTTTTTGTTTGTAATGTGAGATTTGTTCCAGAATAAGGGAAAATGCAAAACTGCAAATTACCGAAATATGTAATTTTACATTTTGAAAAATTCACTTTTATTCCTAAAAATTAATCTCAAATATGTAAATAGCTACCTTTTTATATAATTTCTTTTTTAATAGGACATTTAGATTCATAAGAAAAAAGAAAAAATTAAACAGTTCATAAAATTATATTTTGAAATTTGTTGATATTTCACCCTAAAATTATTTCTTTCAAAAAAAAAAAAAGAATATTTCTATGTATCTCATCTTAATTAGTTCAAATTTATTCCAAAAGATATTGTGCAATTGAAATTGAAGTTACATAGTGTAGAATCTATATAAAATGAATTTAAATCAACTTGTTTGGCTTGAATTTTTTAAATTCATTTTTTAGAAATTTAAAAAATTTCATTTTTTGTATTTTTTTTTATTTTTACTGAATTTGTTTAATATTTTAAACAATTTTTTTAATTGTTAGATATATCTAACATAAATACACTTAAAAAGTATAATATTTGTAAAAATTTTTTTTAAAAAAACTCACTAAATACCAAAAATAAAAATATGAAAATTCAATATTTTTTTATATATTTATTAATTTTTAAAATATTTTTTTATAAATATTTTACTTTTTAAATACATCTAAATAAGATACATATAAAAAGTAAAAAAAAAAATTAAAATTAAAAAATATTCACTAAAAAAAAATTACAAAAAGTAAAAAATTTAATTTTTAAAAAATTAAACTCAAAAAATTGAAATCAAACACAATTCTAAATGATCTCTAGATAATTAAATCCAAATTTGTAATATTACTCATAACCCAAAATAAAAAAAAAAAAAAAAGGTTGGCGGAGTTGTAAACCAGTAGCGCTAGCGCATATGGTTTTTGGGTGGGTCGGTGGGTGAGTGGGAGGGGGACTGTTTTTAGGGTGACAAAACGTTATTGTGGGCGGTATTCGCTTTCCGGTATGGTTACAGTCTGGAAACCTTGGGGGAGAAAAGTTGAGAGAAAGAAGCTCTCAGAGTTTGAGAGAAAGAGAGAGAGTTTTTTGCCAACACATGATCATTGAGAGTGATAACCATATATAGGTCACGTACGTTCATGAGATACAAGAGCTAATGCAAAAGCATACACAACGAAACTCTCTGAAGCTAAAATGCTTCAACCAAGACACTCCATTTTATTTCTCCAATCAGCCATCACCACCATCCTCTTTTTCTTCCTCCTCCTCCTCCTCCTCCTCTGCCTCCCACATGAATTGCGCGTACAATCCCAACACCGTACTGTCATTCAATTCAATTCAAAAAAAACAAAAAAATCAAGTTCAATGATCACAACAAATAAGTACATCAAATATATAAATGATGAGATTGGGCTTTACCAGTCGTTGGGAGAGGCAAGAATAGCTTGATCGAAGTAGGATTGGGCTCTGTCTTCGTCTCTCTGAGTCTCCCATATCAACTTTCCGTATAAACACAACACCTCTCCGTCTCCAGGACTCGCCAGTATTGCTCTTCCGTAGTACTCTTCTGCTTTCACCATATCTCCCTCATCCTTAATAAATAAATAAATTAAAAATAGAAGTATATGTGGAATCCCAAAATAAATTTGTCCCACGTCGGTCTGAGAGACATTCACAATTCATTTTATAAGGTGATTAAAACTCCTCCTAACTAAGCTGAGGTTCTAAAAGGAATAAAACCGTGAGACTGGGATTGGGTTGGTAGCTTCGGTATATAATCAAAGATGAAGCAAGTAATAATCGAATCAAAAAGTGACCAATTAATTGAGAATAACAATTTGAAGCAGTAGTACTACCTCGTGTAAGAACTTGGCATAGTTTCTGAGCAGAAGAGCGTTGTTAGGGTTTGATTTCAACATCTCCCGATAATACGCACAGATCTTGGACTTGGTGTCGGATCGGATCACATTCGACTCCGACGAAACCCTTGGGGTTCGCTTCCCCGGAGTAGAATCGCTCCGGCTATTGACCAGCGAAATCCGGGGCGAAGCAGAGACTCTCGGTGAACTGGGAACGATGAAATGTTGTTGGACCGGGACCGAACCGGTTCGGAGAAGTACAGCTTCCATGGTTTTTGGGAATCAGATAAGTTTGGTACAAGTTTGATATCACTACCTCAACGTCGTTCCTGAAATCTAAAAAGACCGTGGTTTCTGTCGGCATATATAGATAGGAGTGGAGTGGACTAGAGTGGATCCGATTGGAGTACCCGCAAATGGTTTTTGTGGGTTACCCATGCCTAAAACCTCCAACGCACTAGAGCCACCAGAAATCACTGGTGATGTGATGTAATGTAACTTTCATACATTGAGATTTACATTGACTTACTTTAAAATATAAAAAATTGAGTGGAACATAAGTATGAGTGACAAGTAAAATTAAAACTAATGATAAATATTGTACTTATAATAAGCTTTTAATGATAAAAGGTCATCATCTATGTACTTGACTTACTACTCAGAGTCCATCAAACTTGACGCTTATTACTCAGAGTTCATTTACTTACGTAATGATATACTATTAAGGCTTCGTTTGGGAACAGGTTAATTTAGTAACTTTTTAGTTATTTGGCTAAAAAGGTAGGAAAAAAAAATTTGTATGTTTGGGATGACTTTTTGGCTAATTACGAAAAGATGTGCAAAAAGTAGAGAGAAAAGAGAATCTTTGACTTTTTGGTATAGGTTGTTGGCTTTTTGGCTAATTTAGTAACTTTTTGGCTAATTGAATTATGTTTTGAGATTAAACTCCATTTATTAGTCAAATTCTATTTACTTTTCTACCAAATTTCACTTATTACTCCGCCTCTGTTTGGAAAGTAAATTGACTTTTTAACTTTTTAATTTTTTTGGCTATTTTATTCTGGGCTAAAAAGTTTAATTTGGGAAGGATTTTTTAGTTTTTTGACTTTTTTAACTTTTTTTTGTGAGAGAAGAGTGTAATAATTATGAGTTGGAAGTGATGTTTTATTTGTTACGGCTAAAATAACCTATTTTATCTTTTGTGACTATTTTAGTCCCAACCTTCCTTGCCAAACAACACCTCAATAATACTCTACTTACTATTTTATTAAATTTAGCTTACTACTGAATTAAACATCGCTTACTACTCAATAAGACTCAACTTACTAAACAACGCCTACTAATCTATGAGACTCCACTTATGCAATCAAACTTGACTTACTATTAAGTCAAATTCACTTACTATTCCATCAGACTTGACTTACTACTCAATAATGTTTTATTTATTACTTAATGAGACTCTATTTACTATTCTCATTAGACTTAACTTCCGTATTTATAATTTTTTTAAAAAAGTTGGTATACGAAATTTATATAGAGTTTGTGGGTTTTAAAAAACCATTAATAAAATAATTTGGATTTAAAATTTTTAGAACTAACTTTATATTTGTTTTGATGTTTATAAAATTTAATTATAAATTTATTCCTAACTTTATATTCATGAGTTTTAATTTCAATTTTTTTTTCATCAACAAAAAAAGAAAACTTTATTGATGACGACATCATACAAATCATATGAGATTACATCAATAAAAAGGAGAAGTGCATAAAAGCAACACAGCAAACTCCTCCAATCCCAACTAGGTTGGCACCATGAAGAAGCTCCACCATGTGCTAGTACAACCACAAGCTCAATCATATGAAATTGATGTTTAATTTCAAATTTAAATGCATATTTCTTAAATAAAATAACACTATACATTTAATTTCTTACACGTTCACTACAATATTTTTTTAGTTCAGTGACACTCGAAAGTGTCACAAAACTATTCCTTTAATAACATTTTTTTAGTCTTGTGACATTTTGAACAAGTGTGATTTATACTTATGCCACGGTAGATACTAGTGACACTTTTAAGTGCCACTATACCATCAAGACTAAAGACTTTCAGTGACACTTTGATGTCACGATAGGTACTGTTCGTGACACTATCAAGTGCCATTAAGAGCATCTCCAACGATGAACCAAATTTTTCACCAAATTTGAGTAAAAAAAAGCCAATTTTCTCAATCTGATATGGCTTGCTCCAACCGTGCAGCAAAAAGGAAGGGGTCGACCGGTTGGTCGACCGGTAAGGCTAGTTTTTTTTCTTTTTTTACCTGTTTGAACCTTTTTGACCGGTTTGAAGTTACCTATTTGAAAGAGAACCGGTCGACCAGTTGGTCAACGGTCCAAAACAGTGAAATACTGAAATCCAGAGCTTGTCCCCAGTTTGGTGAAATGTTTGTTTCATTCTCATTTTGATATCAAATTGGTGAGATCATTGGAGCTTGAAAAATTCACTTTTTCATCAAATTTCAAATCTGATTTATGGTTTGATGTACCGTTGGAGATGGCCTAACAAAGATTTACAATTTAAAAAATGACACTATATGCTTTTTATAATATGATTAACAGTTTGTTTCATTCTCATTTTGATATCAAATTGGTGAGATCATTGGAGCTTGAAAAATTCACTTTTTCATCAAATTTCAAATCTGATTTATGGTTTGATGTACCGTTGGAGATGGCCTAACAAAGATTTACAATTTAAAAAATGACACTATATGCTTTTTAATATGACGTTTGTTATGTCATAATTGATATTTTTAATAATTCTCACAAATGCCACTAAACTTAACTTTTAGTGATGGTTCAAAATGTCAGTACTTTATAATTCATTTGTACCCTAAATAGAGATAAATTGAAAAACAAAAATAAATAAACAAATAAATAATTATTTTACAACATTCACTTCATTATATTTTGGCTTAGAAGATAAACAAATAAAATTGTATTTATTTAAATGTAATTACAATTGTTACAAATACAATAATATTGTTCTTTACTAATAAAATAAAATCAAAATATTATTCCTATTTTGACAAAGTCAACGTCACTATCATAACATTAGAAATAAAAATGATGTTTTCAATATCATTATCATTATCAGAAGTGGTGGACCGTATAAAAAATGGCAAAACGACATTTTCGAGGGAGGATGGAACCAGAATAAATAATGCAAAGGAGGATGATTTCTTTCGATCTAGCTTTTATATTTGAGGGTATTATTTAGGTTTGTAAAGTCTATCACTGGCCTTGTTTTGATAATTTGAATTGTTTATTTTATCAAATATTTTGTGTGCTTTATTCATACAAAAAATTAGATTAATCCAATAATTATAACTTATTTAATTTATTACGTTTCTCGCTAAAAAAATATATGATTTATTTTAAAAAATATAATTGTTATCTATTATTTTTAGTGAAAGTTGAACAAGTTACCGTTATACTTATTATTTTATTTTTTTAAATGAAACACAAAGTATCTAACAAATAAACAATTTAAATTATCAAAATGAAATCTATAATAAATTTTATAAGTTTAAATAACACTCTTCAATTTAAAACCTGGACGGAAAGGATGGTCCTTCTTAGGGGTGGGCGCGGGTCGATTGCGGGCACGGAATTTTCAATCCGCCATCCGTCCGCCAGATTGACGGATTGGAGAAAATCAATCCGCATCCGTCCACCAATCCGGCAGATGTGGATTGAGCGGATTGACAGTTTGACAAGTGGATGCGAATCGGTTTGGCGGTTTGAAATTTTATAAATTTTCAACATAGTTCAACTTGTATACTTCCTAAAAAAAAAAAAAGTATTACAGTCAATGACTTAAAAAAGTATTACAATTACTGCATATCTCATCCAAAGAAAGAAAGTTTGAAACTTTAGAATATCACAATCACTGCATGCCTCATCCACATATTACAATCACAGCATGCCTTATCCACGTAAAGTATTACAATATGTGGTTCTTAAAATATAAAAATAATTCAAACCACAAAAACCATGAACAGAGCAGTAGTAGAGATTGTATGTCTCTGTATTATTACATTTATATATGTTTTGGAAAACAAAAACCAACCAGCATATATCATATTTTCTATTTATTACTTTTAGAGTTAGATTTAAAAACCAAAAAATATAAATAAATAATACGTTCATTTTTTTCAATTCAAAAAATATACTCAAGTTGAAAACTTGTTTTCAACAGAATATTTAAACTCTTTTTCAATTGAAAACACAAACAAAATATTTAAACAAATAGAAAACACAAAATCTTATAAATTATTAAGGGTGCTCGCGATTTGGCGGTTCGGTTGCGGCCAAAGGAACCTCAAATCCGCCATCCGTCCGCCAAATTGGCGGATTGGAGAAAATCAATCCGCAACCGTCCGCTCGTCATTACGTATCCGTCCAAAATGTGACGGATCGATTCGATTCGATCAATTTTAACAAATTAATATATCCACTGCTTGTTGGAAATGGTAGAAAAATTCTGGGTAAAACCAGAATTTTTTCTCAAGTTTGGTCTATTTTTTAGGTGGGCCCCGAGTGTCGATTTACTCGGGTCAAAGTGGTAACGCGTTCTATGCCGCGTTGTGATTCACGTGGTATATTTGGTTGCTCAAAACCATTACCGAGTGAATAGGAAATTGAAGCCAAAGTGCGCTCCATGGAAATAGAGTTTTGGTGGAAATTCCTTAAGATTGTAAATTGGCTTGTCCCACATTGATTTGGTGGGAAGTTTTGAAATGGTTTATAAGGCTTGGGTTAGATACTTGGGGTGTCCCCCAAGGGGTACCCAAGTGTTTTAGAGGCAGAGGTTATGGGCAAAATGGGCTAGACCCATTGGACCCAAAAATCACCACACACGCGCGCCGCCGCCGTCCGCCGTCCGTCCGAGCAGGGTTGGGCTTCTAATCTTTTTGGGCCAAAAACATTTGAATTTTATTTTTATTTTTATTAAAATAAAATCCAGAATTCAAAATAAACTAGTTTGGAATTAGTGTTCATCCAAACAAGGCCCTTCCCGTTTTCAAACAGAATTAAACTAGTTTGGATTTACTGTTCATCCAAACAGAGCCCTTCCCGTTTTTTATCTATTTGAATTATTAACCCAACAGATTCAAATCTGTTTAAATTTGAAACTAACAGGTTTCATATCTGTTCAATTCAAAACCTAGAGCCACCTTTACATCTATAAATAGACTGGCCTCCCATTTGGATTTCACTCCAATTTTCGTACTCTATCCTCTGCTTTAAATCTCTGCATTTTGCTGCATTTTATTTCTGAAAGAAAGAGTGTAAACACTTTGTGTGTTCGACGAACGATTAAATTGTAGTGCTGCTTTTATTCGTTGATAAGAT